CATGGGTTTGGGTCTCGGGCCGAGCCGAGCCGGACACGTGGCTAAGCTCCCCAGCACAACAAAACCCGGTCCCTGGCCCTGCACAGTGCTGCCGGACCGGGCTGCAGGAGGAGGAACTGCCGGCCGGCTCAGAATGCAGGGAGGGAGGGGGGGGTGGGAGGAGGAAGCTGCTCCGGAGTCCAGCCCGGGACTTTCCTGCAGCCCTCCCAGCTCTGCTCTGCCGGGGGAGGGGGGAAATCCCGGACATTTTGAGTGCTTTACAAATTCCCCCCGGACGCTATTTTTAGCACGAAAAGGAGGACATGTCCGGGTAAATCCGGACGAATGGTAACCCTACTTCTTGTAGTGTGGGATCCAAAACTGGACACAGTACTCCAGATGAGGCCTCACCAATGCCGAATAGAGGGGAATGATTATGTCCCTCAATCTGCTGGCAATGCCCCTACTTATACAGCCCAAAATGCCTTCTTGACAACAAGGGCACACTGTTGACTCATATTCAGCTTCTCGTCCACTGTGACCCCTAGGTCCTTTTCTGCAGAACTGCTGCCTAGCCACTCGGTCCCTAGTCTGTAGCAGTGATCAATGGCTCCATGTCTAGTTGGCAGCTGGTATCAAGCCGAGTGCCCCAAGGGTCGGTCCTGGGGCCGGTTTTGTTCAATATCTTCATTAATGATCTGGAGGATGGCATGGACAGCACCCTCAGCAAGTTTGAAGATGACACTAAACTGGGAGGAGTGGTAGATATGCTAGAGGGTAGGGATCGGATACAGAGGGACCTAGACAAATTAAAGAATTGGGGAAAAAAAACCTGATGAGGTTCAACAAGGACAAGTGCAGAGTCCTGCACTTAGGATGGAAGTGTAAGGTGGTCCTGCCATTAATGTCCGAATCTCACTCACTCTCCAAACAAAAGTATACAGTATAAAGAACATGGTAAAATGCACATGCTATGATATAAAGAACAAAGGCTCAAATGAGGGTTCCATCAAAGACAGAAGTACTACCTTACACATAAGCCATAGTGGGTTGGAGAGTCCAGGTTCAGTCTCACTGCCACAGGACAGTAAATGGAGACTAAAGGAGAGCCATGACCACCTTGCTCTTTATGCCCTTGTTTGAGCACAAAGAGGCCCTGGGTGCATGTGTGGCCCTGATAGACACAGCTATTCAAACAATTCCCTAATCATTTTTGTTGCCCTCCATTGGACTCTTTCCAATTTTTCGAGGTGCAGGCATACCGACAGTGGGATTCATACTGACACAGTTGAAGGAGAACTAAAGTCAGGCTACCCACAAACTCCATAGTGGTTCTATTAGGTTACAGATCAAAGGAGGTCACTGACTTGGGGACAATAAAAAAAATGAGACACATATCAGGATCAAATGGATTTTGATCATGTATGGTTATTTTTAGAAACGGAACAAAATAAATACACAGATAATAAGAGGTTGACCAAACACAAATAGTTCTTTAAATACAGATGAATAAGATTTGTTAATACTTGTCTAGAAAGTTTATGTAGTTAATAATAAAATAAAAAGTAAACAAAAAATACTGAATTTGTTTGGAAATCTCCTGCCATCCAGTCTCCAATAGCCAGACTGGCCAAAAGGCATTATAGGGTACTCGGTGACATTCAAAGAGCTGGCAGCACCCAGAGTAGGTACAGTGGTAGCAGCATCCTGGACAAAACCTCCACCATGCCTCTTGAATCTAATCTCTCTCCAGGCAGTCTGGATGGGAAATGGAAGTGACCATTCCAGAGAGCCTTTCAGATGTTGGCTTCCCATTAGGGGACTGCTCAATATGCATCTTATATTTCTAGAACTGCTATCACTCATCTGGCTGTTTATGGGAGTTGACTTGATGGCAGCTTTCCTTCCTAAAGAACCCTAAAAAGATTTGTAGAGTACTTGACTAACAAATAAGATTTATGCAGTGTTGTAGCCGTATTGGCCCCAGGATATTATAGACAAGATGGGTGAGATAATATCTTTTATGCAGACATATTTCCACTACTACAATGCTCAACACCCCCTAAAACACACTTTTCAAGATCCATGAGTCCTACACATGCCTATCACAACATGTGGTGTACCTCATGCAGTGCACTACATGCCCCAATAACACTATGTGGGTGAAACCAAACAATCACTCTGCTCTCAAATGAACTCACACAGGAAAATGATAAAAGACAAAAACACCTTATCACCTGTGGGTGAACCCTTTTCACAAAGCGATCGCTCGATATCTGACCTCTCAGGCCTCATCCTCAAAGGAAACCTGCACAACACACTTTCAAACGGAGAGCCTGGGAGCTACTAAAAATCATGGACTGAAT